AGGTGTTGGAAAGGAAACTGGCTTGTACTACAGAAACCATCATTCAAAGTGCCATCCATATCCTCCTAAGGAAAAGCATTGCTTAAACATATCATTATATTACCTACAGTACAAGGATAATATCATGTCATTTACAGCTGTATATTATGTTATGTAAGGATTTATATGTAAAGTAAAATAAAACAATGTCTTCACTTTACTGAACAGGCACAAAAAAATCAGTCAGGCCCTGAAGTGAAAATAAATATTATTGTACGACCTGAGCGTTTGGGACTAAAATATAAATATTAACATTTGATGTTACATCTGTGACTAATGCTCGGTGGAAGTTTATAAAATTGGCTCTTATAACATCTGTGTAAATGTTTTACCTACACCAGAGAGTAAATTGGGTTGTTAAGAAATAAGTGTTGCTTTAGTTTTCAACTCGGAAAGCTGACTAAAATAATAAAATACTGGGAACAATGATATGATGCTAAAAAGTAAATAGAGCATCAGTGTGGCTGACCTAGATAGACAGGGTAGATAGGTTGTGTGCCTTTGTGTGGTAAAACATGTCGACCTTGTAGATTGGGGATGCTTTAAAAACATTGAGACCTAACCTAATCTTGCAAAGACAGATTTATCAGAATGAATAGGTTACAGGTAAGAGCAGAGAACTAATTTCAACTGAAAAGGGTATATTTTTACCCCCTCTATTTCCTCTACAGCACACACATTAGTAACTGATGAAAATCATGTAAAGAAACTTTGAAATGGCAGCTAATAGTGTGCAGGTATTAACAGCCGGTTACTGATAAGGATTACCATAATTCACAAGAGCTTAGAAATAAGAATAAGGGTAATGAAGTTGCCGTAAAGTACAATTGGAACTCTAAGAACTGAGGATGATGGTTGTGTGTTGCATAAACTGAATAAGTAAAATTACTTATTTAAGCTCAATTTTCTGCTATCTGTTAAATGTATTTAAACATTTTGCATATCCTTTTTGAACCTGTAGTCTCCTGTTGGTTTTAGTGTTTCTTTGTTCAGCCTTGTTGTGTACAGCAACACTAACACATACTATGAATATAAAAATAAATAGTGAAGTTATTATAGTCTTCACAAACAAAAAGTCAGTAAGATTCATTAATATCATTTGTATTTATACCAAACAGTTCTACCACACCCTGAAATAACTGTCGTGGGAATTCTTCTCAAAGTTGAGAGGTGCTAATTCTCTGAAGATCTTTCAAGCCGGTGTGGTATTCAAGACACTTTAATACATGCAGCATGGAGAGAACAGCACGTCATGAGTATTCTATCTAGACTTCCAAAATGCTCTCCCATATCCATCTCAGTACATCGTAAAACAGTGAAAACACCCCTGTTTTGTCTTGTTTATGTTAGGCTACTAATGAAAAAGTCCAGGTCTCTCCAGAAATGGTCTTTAAGAGCTGTGACCCCACTCCCTGACCCTTAGTTCTGTGACCAACTGCTGACGGTCACTTCCTACGCAATAAACACACAACCCCCTGACCCAGGACCATTACATTTACTACCCTCCTAATTACTGTTATCTACAACATTCCATTTAATCTGAATATTTTAATGCATCTGAAAAGAAGAACAAGCTAAGCACTTGGGGGCTAATATTTTGGGACTTTTTGCATCTTTGAGCCTGATCTTCTCTGACCTCTCAACCCACTCACTGTCCTTGGTTATTAATAAATTTAACCAGTTTTGGTGGTAATCATTGCCGCTGTCACAATATCTGCTCGCCCTTGCAGACATGTGTAGGCCTTCAGCATCTGAATCTCCTCAGGTTTGCCTTTCTCCTTCATCAATAATTCACCAGGGGAGTCAAATCTTTAATTAGATGAGTTGAGCGTAGGTGGAAAAGCGTAGGACTGATCAGCAAAATCACCTAAAATACAATAGTTTTATAATAATTGTATTACTGTTTGACATATGTTAGCCTAACTGGACCTAGAAATAAATTCCACCTGCAAGGATTGGTTTATTCTGACAGAGTAAGCAATTATTAGATGGATAATCGGACAGATTTGTTCAATAGGACTATACAAATAAATAGAAAATTTACATTGGCAGACAAAGTGCCAAACAAGTTTAATGCATCGTTTTAAACAGACCAAGAATGTATTAATCCTTCAATAACGTAAGACTGTTTTTACCAGGCCGAGCCTAGCCTTATGAACCAACACAATAGGCAGAGTTCCTATTAAATATAATAAGTTGCTATATAACTATATAAACTAGTTAGTACAATTAACCGTATCCAATTGCAAGCTATCAAACACTGCCTAAGCAGCTTAGTTAAGGCTTGAAAGCTAACTGCATATGTCTACAAGGCTAATGATGATGATACGAATCAAAGACATTAAGTTTTGATTTGGACTTGATGGCCTGTGAGACTGCCTCAAAACAATTCCCAGATTTGGAACATCTGCGACCACAATGAACTAACTTTAATTTACTGTGCTTTGAAACTTTGGTCCGGAAAGGTACTTCTACACTTTAGACTCGTTAGACTTAGACTTGAGATTTTTACTTGGACTTCTCTCTAATTAGACTAGCAAACTTTGTCTTTGAATATGATCCAAATTACTTTGAGACTTGGACTTGTCTTTGAATGAGCAAATATCAAATTTCACTGGATGAAATGGACCTGTCCTCACAGCAAAGCCATATTTGCAACCATGAAATGTTAGCGGTAAACACAGATGATATACTGAATTAAAACTTTCATACAAAGGAATCAAAACACAGTCAGCGTGCCGGGACTATAATGTGCTGGAAAAGAACTCTGCTACAAAGCTAAATGGGATGCGAAGCAATGAATTTATGTATATATCATTGGTATACTATCACCTTTTTTACCCTACCTATTTCAAACTGTAAGCAGAATGGTTTTCCTGTGAAAAATGTCTATACTGTGAACTTGAAACGTGTGATTATCTTCTAGGGGAACTGGTCAGGGAGTCAGGGTCAATTTGGGGTGATTGCAGTTCATGTGATTGTGGCTGCAAAAGATGTAACGCTGGTCATAATTTTAAGTTAATTAGGCCCAGTGTCCCTAGCTCTTCCCGTCCTTCCTCCAATCCGCTCCAACAATTTTTGCCCCTGGTTTTTGTTGTATTTTGTTTGTCTTATATCTTTATTTAATTTATTTTGGTCACGGTAACAACAAACCTTCTTTTTATTTACAACTCTTGCGTGTTTCTCATTCCCGTCTTTTGTCATAGCTGATTGAGCCGGGTTGTTGACAAACAAATGAGGGTAATGTCCGTGAATGCAAACCCTAGTTGGGATTAACATTGTGTAGAATCCATAGGCCTTAGTGTATGAATATAGAATTAGGAAATTACTGTATGATCTTGGTTTAGCGTAGCTTCCTCGGTGATTATTGGTTCCGTGTCTCAAGTGCAGACAAATTGAAGTGCCCTTTTGGTAATTTATGCTGTATTGCAACTAAAAGATAATTGGGAGGCAAATCAAGGCAAAGAGTTTTTTGTTATTCTGTTGTATCGATTAAGATTGGTTTCTTTGGTAGTATCTCTTTTGTGGAGCTTGTTTGAAGTTGAATGTTAAACGGAGAGAAGGGAGAGAAAGACAGAGACACAATTTGGGGAAGCATTTCCCTGGTTTCTTGTATGGCCAGTTTCCTGATTGGCTTTTTTGGATTTCTGGTGGAACAGTGTAGTACCACCCACCTAGTAATGTCCCGCAAAGATTAGGGCGGGACAAGGGCAGATGGGCAAAAACGGCAATGGGCATTTTGAAGCCGAGACCAGCCCACCAGGTAATTGATGGAAGACAATGATTCCC